TATTTTTAGTTTTTTAAGGAACCTCCATACTGCTCTCCATAGAGGCTGTATCAATTTACATTCCCACCAACAGTGCAAGAAGTTTCCCTTTTCTCCACACCCTCTCCAGCATGAAATGGTAAATTTTAAAAGAAGCTAAAAAATGCTTCTTGGAAGAAAAAATAATGAACCTATTGAGTTGATCATCTTCCCCTTCCAAGAAATAGTATGTGCTAAAAATAGATTCATTGACAGCTTAACTCCATCAAGAATTAAGGAAGAGTGATAGGAGATAGGTAAAATTAGACAGCTCTACCTGCCCCTCAATCCTCAGTGTTCCTTGAACCACTGTCATAAAGAATGCTAGAATAGATAAGTCACTGTGACTGACAATATATTCTACTTTCTTGTTTTCAGTTATATTGTGGTTAATGCTGGGAAGTGTGGACTGTTAAATGTGCAGTTCTCTGAATTTTACTTGCTTTTGTTCAGTGCTATTTTGCCTCACATCTTCAAAGGAAATTCAGCATTCATTTCAAGAGAAATTGTTTTCTTTCTTGTAGGACATTTATAATGTATTTATATATATTGCATGTTATATACATTATATAATACATTTTAAGAGAGGAATGCTTATACCATTAAAATAATTAAGATTTGAATCAAAGCAAATTATTGAAAGAAAACCCACCCCAAAAACATACCTTCTACAGAAATCCTTCATTGGTTTAATTGTTACTTGGAATTATATCTGGGACCGCTCTTGTACTCCCCATCACGCCAAGGCTGGAGCATCAGGTGTCACTGGGTTTGTTTTGATGGTGATGGTGGTGGTGGTGGTGGTGGTGGTGGTGACTGATGCTGGTAGCTAACATTTATTGAGTATTTATAAGGGCTTGGCAGGTGTTAACTCATTTCATGCTCATAGGAACCTAGAAGGCATAATTATTCCCATTTTACAAATGAGGAAGCTGAAACAGAGAGATGAAGTAACAGCTCAGAGTTGCAGATTTATGGATAGAGCTGGGCACACATCTGGCCATCTGGCTCCAGAGTCTAGAGTCTTGACCACCACATTGCCTCTTCTGGATATTTATACTTAGGCCCAAATCTTTGAATAAATAGACCATTTAAGAACTGCATGAACAAGCTGGGGAAAGAGTTTACTGGCATTTTCATTTTAAATCTTGTTATGTGGAACAGTGGAAACCCAAATGGGAAGACTAAGTAGTATTAAGTGATTGTCAAAGACTACAATACTGAAGGTTCACCTCACATGTCATTGGCAGAAATGGAGTTCTCAGAAATACATTAGTTATTTCTTTACTTCCCTTTAATAAAGTGTTTCAGAGTTAAAGCGCGAGGGCGAGAGAGAGGCATGGACATATATACACTAACAAACATAAGGTAGATAGCTAGTGGGAAGCAGCCACATGGCACAGGGATATCAGCTTGGTGCTTTGTGACCGCCTGGAGGGGTGGGATAGGGAGGGTGGGAGGGAGGGAGATGCAAGAGGGAAGAGATATGGGAACATATGTATATGTATAACTGATTCACTTTGTTATAAAGCAGAAACTAACACACCATTGTAAAGCAATTATACCCCAATAAAGATGTTAAAAAAAAAAAAAGTTAAAGCACAGATAAACTCCACATTAATTGTATGGCTCCTATTCCTGTTGAGTGAGGACTATGCTAACCTTTCCATGTCCCGGGTCTCCCAGAAAGGACAGTCTGTGTCTGGGAGAGGCAGCCCCACCCCCCCTGTCAGTAGGCTTTGTTCAAGGGACTGTTCTTAGGTGCCTTTCTCCATTATATATTGTCATTCCCTGACCTTTTTTTTTTTTTTTTGATCTGTTTAAATTACTCACCCTAAAGTCTGTTGGCTTTTTCATCACTTATAGGAAACATCTGTTACCCTCAAAGGCTGTTAATGGTGGCCACAAAGTCCTGTCAGAGGTCCTCATTTTACTGGCCCTTTGTATGTGTGTAGGATGCTGTGTCTTGTATACAATAAAGGTAATTCTAGGCCAGATTTTTCTCAAATGCTGATCAGAGAAGACTGCATCCAAATCACCTGGGGAGCTTGCTAAAAAGGGAAATTCGCAAGTTCCACCCTAGATTTGCCAGCTCACTCTCTGGGGTTGCTTCCCTCATTTGCATTTTTAATAAGCACCCCAGGTGCTTCTGATGTACTGGAAAGTGAAAAATCACTGTTCAAAAGGCTACATTAAATGAAATGTATACATCTCAGTACTGTAAGAGAGGCAGATGTGATTAAAGCCCTGCGCATAACGAACCTTAGTCTGCTAGGGAAGAAACACATAGAAATAATGCACAGTGAAAATTAAGTACCATAAAAGTAGAAACAGCTACTTCCAGGTAGCAGAAGTCAGAGAATCTTCTAGAGGTTTTTTTTGTTTAGTGCAAGGTATATACATGTGGGTGATTCTTCATTCATTTAGCACATGTAAAGTCCTGCAGTTCCATTTTTCATCTCCTTTACCAACTCACTGGATAACTTCTAGAATTTGCATAATTTTTAGAGATGAAGACAAAACTTTCATATTATTAAAGGCTACTACACCTAAAAAAAGTTTTCCTTTCCATAAACTACCAAGCATACTGTGCACTCATGGTATTTCTGATTTTATTTTTTAACAGGAGATTGCTAGCATTTTATGACACAGAACCATCTACACTGAGACCTTCCCCTTCAGTGAGACCATGCCCAGAAATTGTGTCCCAAGTGTTTGTGAATGTTCAACCCTTTTCATAAAATGTCACTGTTCCCCTTCATCATGGTTGTTTATAGGCCAGATATGAATAATGGAAGGAGAAGAGAATTAACTTTATTAACTACTGTGCACCAGGCACTGTGCCAGGCAAACTTCAGAGAGGTTAAGTAAATGAGCCAGGCCACACAGCTGCTAAGGCCAAGAGAATGGGAAAGCCTAGGAAGTCGGTGTGGTGGCTTTTGCCAGCAAGCGTCTTGTTAATTTATTGACAAACATTTGAGGACCTGCTGCATTGGCACTGGAAGGATACAGAGATAAATACAGTGCCGGATCTTGGGGAGCATTCGATCTAATGAGAAATTGGAGATTTACACAGTTAACCAATACAGGTGAGTGAAGGGCACTGACATTTGCACTTACTGGGCTATGCGTTTTCAATATATAATATTATCCCATTTAACCATCCCAGCAAACCTGCCAAGTGGTCGAAGTCTGTTATATAGATGAGGGAATTGTGGTTCAGAGAAAGCAAGTTACCCAAGGTTACCCAACTCGTAAGTAGCAGGACTCAGATTTGCATCCAAGTCTGTGACTGCAAAACCTCTGTCTTCCTTGGCAATTCCAATGACAGAATCTGCATTCTGATAAGGGGAATGTGGAGGCTCTCAGGAGCTGCATTTGATGCATTCTACCTGGATACTTAGGAATCAATAGGATTTATTTAGAAGGAAAGGCCAAGCAGTGCTACAACAGAAGCAGAGGTGCAGAGCAGTAGAAGTGTGTGGGAATGGACGTTAGGCCATTTCCACATAAGCAGAGCAGATACGGAACCATCGTGAGAGGTAGACTAGGAAGGTGGGCTCCGGGAAGACCAGGTCCTACCTCAGGCTTTAGCTAAGGATGATGAGATCTGAAGGGCTAAGCTCAAGAAATATCTGTGTTAAAAAATGAACAAAACTTGATAACTAATTGGATGTTGTGCAGGGGGGTGGCGGGGGGGAAGGTGGTCGACGTGAATCAAAGCTGATTAAATGAATCACTGGAGTAGTGCTGTAAGGACAAATGAAAGACTCCATTAGAACACAGATTACAGCTCCAAGTAATGCAGAAAATAGTGTTCAGCTTTACCTTGTCTGTGAACTAGCTTGTTTTCCCAGTGGTTAATTCATATGGAATGTGTTCTATAACTGCTGTTTTCTAAGAATATAAAGCTATGCCTTAATATTCTAGGATATCTCTTTAATTTTTTTAAACAGAGACAGAAAGTAAGGTCTATGCCATCAGATACACACACCCATGTACATATATACATAAACATACATATAGAAGGACTATATGTGACTGACTAAATGTGACTGACATCATCATTTTCCAAATTTTACAAAAGGACATTTCCTTCTGTAACCAGAAAGAAAAATAACTTAAAAAAAAAAAAGCCAAATAGCCTAAATGTTTACGTGATGGACCACTTATAAATTCCTCCAGAATACCTAATCAAACATTGTTCATTATATGGTCTACTAAAATCATTTTCCAGTGACTTTTTTGGAGAACTCTGTTTCTTCATTTTCTGTTTATATAAAATTGTTTTAATTTTAAGACTTAGAGTACTCTAGGTATAGATTTTTAGATTTTTAAAGATTTGTGGTTTTCATTCAGTAGCCATATTTTCACTCTCCTGTACCTTTTCATAATGTTGATGTTAAACTCTTAAAATAATTGATCAAGGAAGAAAGACAAATGAGTATCAGTTTTCATTTAGTATTATGAAATACTTGAATAATTTTTTTGACCAAATTGAGCCGTCATGCATGTTATGGCCAGCATTATACTTTAGTTACAGTTCAATCAATCCCCAGTACTAAGTACTTTGCACTTAGACTGTTTTCCATTTTGTTTTTGTAAAATTTCTTTTACTTTAAAAGAAGATTTTAATTTTAGAAGACAAAATGTTTCTGAAAACATTTTTTCCCCTTGATACTTTTTGACTTTAAAAATAACTGACATTAAAATAAATGTCAGTTTCAAGAACCAACTTGTTTGAATTTCAGTTTGGAATACATTTTTATTTAGGTTATAAAATCTTTGAAGGCAGCTTAAGATGAAAATTCTGATACAACTAAATTACTTTTCTGTCAAAAACAACTATTTCTCATATACTAGTGTTAATTTTGTTATCTTGAGCCAACACAAATTAAAATTAGAATTTGGGTTTTACTTTAAAGTAGTTGTTCATTTAGTGATATTCAGAATTAATGGAATTTTTTTTTCTTACTATTTAGGAAATACCAGAAAGGAACCAGAGTCCGGCTGCGACTATTAGATCTTGAACTTACATCTAGGTTCTTGGGAGCCACAACAGATACAACTATCCTAGAGGCTGAAGCAATTCTGTTAGGACTCCAGGAGAGTAAAGACTCAAAATCAAAAGAAGAACATCGTGAAAAATAAATGAACTTTGCTTAGCGTATTCACTCCTTTTTTGTTGAACCCAGGTATTCATCACGAATGCCATTAGACAATTATGAATAAATGATTGGAGAAGACATAGTAAATGCAAGCTATAATTATAGCTCTTATTTGTCAGAATTTTCTTTAGGTGTAGCTCTCCTCCTCCTGTTTTTATACCCATTCTTTCCTTTGATTGGAGTAGTGTAAACTGTACTGAGAAACGCTGTCATTCAATAAATATGTTTTGAGTGCACTCTTTGTGCATGGCACTGTTCTAAATACTAAAGAAACTGCAGTAAACAAGTTAGACAAAATTGCTTGCCTAGTATAGCTTACCTCTGGCTGGGGGAAATTGATACAAATAAGTAAAATATTGATATATAGTATGTTAGGGATGTGTGCTGAGGACACAAATAGAGCAGGAAGGGCAGAGGATCTGAATAGACATTTTTCCAAAGAAGACATACAGATGGCCAAGAGGTACATGAAAAAGTGCTCAAAGTCAGGGAAACGTGTCAAAACCACGAGATACCACCTCACACCTGTTGGAATGGCTGTCATGAAAAGGCAAGAAATAGCAAGTGTTGGCGAGGATGTGGAGTTTTAAAAGGGAACCCTTGTGCACTGTTTGTAGGAATGTCAGTTGATGCAGCCACTATGGCAAACAGTATGGGGGTTCCTCAAACAATTAGAATTATCACATGATCCAGCAATTCTACTTGTGGGTATTTCCAAAGAAAATGAAAACATTAACTCAAAAATATATGCACCCCCATGTGCATTGCAGCATTATTTACAATAGCCAAGGTATGGAGCAACCTAAGTGTCCATCAATGGATTAATGGATAAGGAAACTGATACACACACACACACATAATGGAATATTATTCAGCCATTAAAAAATAAGGAAATCTTGCCTTTTTTTTTTTTTTTTTTTTTTTTGTTACACGGGCCTCTCACTGTTGTGGCCTCTCCCGTTGCGGAGCACAGGCTCCGGACACGCAGTCTCAGCGGCCATGGATCACGGGCCCAGCCGCTCTGCGGCATGTGGGATCTTCCCAGGCCGGGGCATGAACCCGTGTCCCCTGTATCGGCAGGTGGACTCCCAACCACTGCGCCACCAGGGAAGCCCATTTTTGCCATTTTTGGCAACATGGATTGACCTTGAAGGCATTGTGCAATGTGAAATAAGTCAGAGAAAGATAAATACCGTAAGATCTCACTTATATGTGGAATCTAAGAAAAAGAGCTCATGGATTCAGAGAAGAGATTGGTAGTTCCAGGGCAGGGGTTGGTGCTGGAGAGATGGGGCAAAATGCGTGAGAGGGGTTAAAAAGTACAAACTTCCAGCCATAAGATAAATAAGCCATAGGGGTGTAATGTACAGCATGGTGACTATAGTTAATAATACTGTATCGTATATTTGAAAGTCGCTAAGAGAGTAGATTTTTTTTTTTTTTTTTGTACGGGGGCCCCTCACTGCTGTGGCCTCTCCCGTTGCGGAGCACAGGCTCCAGACGCGCAGGCTCAGCGGCCATGGCTCAAGGGCCCAGCTGCTCCACGGCATGTGGGATCTTCCCGGGCCGGGGCACGAACCCGTGTCCCCTGCATCAGCAGGCGGAATCTCAACCACTGCGCCACCAGGGAAGCCCAGGAGAGTAGATCTTAAAAGTTCTCATTACAAGGAAGAAAATTTTAAACTATGTATAGGGATGGATATTAACTAGACTTATTGTAGTGATCATTTCCCAATATACACAAATATCAAATCTTTCTGTACACCTGAAACTAATGTATTTCAATTATATATCAATTAAAAAAATAAAGCAAGGAATGGGGTTATGAGGTATCAGAGTGATAGACTGAAATTTAGGTTGTGCTGTCAATGGAAACCCTCAGAATTTACTTTTTTTTTTTTTTTGATGTAAAAGATTTTATTTTTCCAGTGATATGGTATTTAGAAAAAGCTCTTTAAAGAGCTTTTTTTTTAATTGAAATATAATTGACATATAATGGTATATTAGTTTCAGGTATACAACAGAATGATTCAATATTTATATATATTGCAAAATGATCACCACAGTTACCAGGAATTCACTTGGATAATAACTGAAGGATTGAAGGAGCTAGTCCCATGAGTCCCTGGGAAAGAGTATTCTAACAGAGGGAACAGCTACTACAAAGGACCAGATTGTGCTTGTCCCAGTTAAGGGGCTTGGGAGGAAGCCATCGTAACTGAGCATAAGAGGAATAGGAGATGAACCTGAAGAAGTGAGGGAGGTCTTGTTGGTCCTGGTGTGAACTTTGGCTTTTATTTACTGTGATTGGGGTGGAGGGTCTTTGCAGGATTCTCAGCAGAGGAAGGGTATAATCTGACTGACAATTTCACTGGATCCTGTACTAGCTGGGTAGACTGAAGATGAACAAGGGCAGCAGCAGCAAAATGTTAGGAGACTTTGCAGCAATCCAGGTGAGAGATGCTGGTAGCTTGGACCAGTGGAGTAGCAGTGGAGGTGGTGAGAAGTGATTGCAATCTGGGTATATTTTGAAGGTAGAGACCGTGGTATTTCCTAACATATTAGATATGGAGTGTGTGATAAAGAGGAGTGAGGGATGACTCCAAGGTTTTTGGCCTGTGCAACTAGAAGAATTGAATTGCCTTTAATTGGAAAGGGAAGAGCAGGTTTGAGGGAGACTATGAGGGCTGTTTTGGACTCGTTAAATTTGAGATGCCTATTAACGACTTAAGTGGAGATGTTCTGCAGGCAGTTGGATACGTGGATCTGGAATTCATGGGAGAGGTCCTGATGTAATATAAAAACTTGCAAATCATAAACACTTCATCGTACTTCACAAATTATGTAGGTCAAGCAACCCAGAACAAAGATGACCCATTAGACAAGTCCTGTATTAAGTAGGAATGGCCCATCTCTGGTACTCCCACCAAGCTCCATCATCGGAGATTCTCAGTGTATCACCTCAGCATGAACACTGTTGGTGGATCCTGAAGGTACAGCAGCTAGATGCTGTCTATGACATACACTCAACAAATCAGACTCTCACTCTTTTTTAAACCACTTCATTGAGGTATGATTGACATGTAAAAAGCTGTACACATTTAATATATACAATTCAAGGAGTTTGAGGAGAAGTCTACAGCCATGAAACCATCACACCATCAAGACATAGACACATCCATCACCTCACAAAGGTTCTTCCCACCCCCTTTATTTATTTATTTTTTGAGGGAGACCTGAATAATGTGTTTTTATGCCTACCACAGTTTCCAAACATCCAAGAGCCAATGTATAAAAACTACAGTTCTGATTTGTCTTTTGGTTTTCTGAGCAAGAATATAAACTTGAAATAAGTGAATTATCAGTCATGACAGGTTTACCATATCTTTGTAGGTGTATAATTTTATTTGAAATATAGATGTGTCATAAGTTTCTCAGCCCTTCCCAATTTCATTTGTATTTGGCCTAAGATTTAATTAATATGGCCAACTCTTTAGTTTTCCATTATGTAGAGAGGTACAGTGGTGTAGATTACCCTAATTATTCGTATTTAGCTTTAGAGTATACACCCTCCAGAAAGTAGGCATAGAGGGAACTTACCTCAACATAATAAAGGCCATATGTGACAAACCCACAGCCAGCATTGTTCTCAATGGGGAAAAACTGAAACCATTTCCATGAAGGTCAGGAACAAGATAAGGTTGCCCACTCTCACCACTATTATTCAACATAGTTTTGGAAGTTTTAGCCACAGCAATCAGAGAAGAAAAATAGAATCCAAATCAGAAAAGAAGTAAAACTGTCACTGTTTGCAGATGACATGATACTATACATAGAGAATCCTAAAAATGCTACCAGAAAACTGCTAGAGCTAATCAATGAATTTGGTAAAGTAGCAGGATACAAAATTAATGCACAGAAATCTCTTGTATTCCTATACACTAATGATGAAAAATATGAAAGAGGAATTAAGGAAACACTCCCATTTACCATTGCAACAAAAAGAATAAAATACCTAGGAATAAACCTAACTAAGGAGACAAAAGACCTGTATGCAGAAAACTATAAGACACTGATGAAAGAAATTAAAGATGATACAAACAGATGGAGAGATATACCATGTTCTTGGATTAGAAGAATCAACATTGTGGAGATGACTATACTATCCAAAGCAATCTACAGATTCAATGCAATCCCTATCAAACTACCACTGGCATTTTTCACAGAACTAGAACAAAAAATTTCACAATTTGTATTGAAACACAAAAGATCCCGAATAGGCAGAGCAATCTTGAGAAAGAAAAACAGAGCTGGAGGAATCAGGCTCCCGGGCTTCAGACTATATTACAAAGCTACAGTATTCAAGACAGTATGGTACTGGCGCAAAAACAGAAATATAGATCAATGGAACAGGATAGAAAGCCCAGAGATAAACCCATGCACATATGGTCACCTTGTCTTTGATAAAGGAGGCAAGAATATACAATGGAGAAAAGGCAGCCTCTTCAATAAGTGGTGTTGGGAAAATCGGACAGCTACATGTAAAAGAATGAAATTAGAACACTCCCTAACACCATACAAAAAAATAAACTCAAAATGGATTAAAGACCTAAATGTAAGGCCAGACACTATCAAACTCTTAGAGGAAAACATAGGCAGAACACTCTATGACATAAATCACAGCAAGATCCTTTTTGATCCACCTCCTAGGGAGATGGAAATAAAAACAAAAATAAACAAATGGGACCTAATGAAACTTAAGAGCTTTTGCACAGCAAAGGAAACTATAAACAAGACGAAAAGACAACCCTCAGAATGGGAGAAAATATTTGCAAACAAAGCAACTGACAAAGGATTAATTTCCAAAATATACAAGCAGCTCATGCAGCTCAAGATCAAAAAAACAACCCAATCCAAAAATGGGCAGAAGACCTAAATAGACATTTCTCCAAAGAAGATATACAGATTGCCAACAAACACGTGAAAGGATGCTCAACATCACTAATCATTAGAGAAATGCAAATCAAAGCTACAATGAGATATCACCTCACACCAGTCAGAATGGGCATCATCAAAAAATCTACAAACAATAAATGCTGGAGAGGGTGTGGAGAAAAGTGAACCCTCATGCACTGTTGGTGGGAATGTAAACTGATACAGCCACTATGGAGAACAGTATGGAGGTTCCTTAAAAAATGAAAAATAGAATTACTATACGACCCAGCAATCCCACTAC